TAATACAAATTACTATTATTTCTAGATATTCTATACTTTTGAGACAAGGTAAATCAATTGTGATATACTTAAAATCAGCCAAATACTGTTGAATCTGCATTTGCCTTTGAAATTACAGGCCTTAAGAAACTGCTGTATCCATGTCCACATTTTTTTCTGGATTATTTTGTACAGTTCCCAGATGACAGGGCATTTGTATCATGTTTGAATGCTGTGTTCCAAAAAGAGGAAATTTAAAGTGTTTGAGCTCTTGGTTAAGAGCCTTGCTGCATCTTTTTTGCTTGCTTCAATGTTCTTATTTTAAGGTCTCTTAACCAAGGATTATATAAATCTGAACTGAATATTCAAAATACCCTTAAATTATATAACTTGCTCATTGAGTCATTTCACCCAACTCATGGCGCTTCCAGTAATTCCTATAATTTTCTACTAGTTTGTTGAGTAGTATGTGGAAATTACAGATCAATATAAGAAAAGAGAACAGCTTTTTGGATTAATGGTTCAGTTAGGCTTTGGCTTCCAATCCTATCAGTTTTCCTGAATTCCAATTTGAATTTGGGAACAAATAAGAATTACAAGAAGAGAACCTGGTTTTAGAACCAAAAGACAATGTAGTAACAGTATAAGGACCTTTCCATCATTTCCCCTCCCTCAATTTCTGAAGCACACAATTTTAGGGTTAGGGAAGTTACAATAGCAATTCTTACCTATCTGTTTAAAATAGCTCAAGCTTATTCAAAAACCAGAATGGAACTCCTTACAACCACATCACTGTTGCTTGGTTCCATCATTTTATATATGCCACACGAAGTCTGAAACAGGGAGGTTACTTTACATTCTTAAGCACTTCAGGCAGTTTTGATTCCTGCTTTCTCTTGCCATTCTAGTTATTTAACTAGGGATAGTAATAGATAGGTGATAATGATATGAATTTCAGTAGGTTGTGGCTATTTGAAAATAATCTTAAAATAACTACAATACTTGTACCATTTTAGAGTAAGCTGATCTTCATGATTGGTAGAATTACTTATGGTTAATTACAATATTATTCACATGCAATGTTATTTTGCATCAAATGAGACTGAAAAGAAAATATTTGTAAAGATATAGTCAAAATAAAACATAAAAATGTATAACTTTAGTAGCATGCAAAATAAACTAATTGGAGAAAAAAATCTTATTTTACATTCTCTTAAAATAATGAGTTTTGTGTTAAAATTATACATTACAATATTCTACAGGAAGATGAAAAGTTTTTATCTGAAGTTTTTGCACAGCTAACTGACGAAGCTACTGATGATGACAAAAGACGTGAACTGGTATGTTCATTTGTAGATTTAATTCTGAAATTCTACTGATTGCTCTTCCATGTGTGTGGAAAGATTATACTTACGACTGCTTTATTTGTATTTATTTATTACATTTTAAAACTGCCCATCTCCCTCAGAGAGGGACTCTGTATGAGTGCCTATGTCATGACATGGCATCCAGGACTTCAGTTCTACTTTGGTTTCATTGTTTTGGGGCTGATTTACAGAAATGTGAGGTCGACAAATAGATAGCTCTGGAGCTTTGTCAGGATTTTTTAATTCAAAATGTTGGAATAAGTTGGCCTTGTGGTTCAAAACACATTAAAAGCATAAGAAACTTTTACTGAATAATAGTTCAATAGTTTCAAATACCAATTGGGTCTAAAAACAATATTCTGATGTGTTTTGGGTAAGAAATAATGAAAAAAGAGGCAATATATTTCACTAAATTAGTACTTTTACCTATATTTCCTTTAAAAAGTATGCTCTTTTTTGCTGAGTATGTGCAATACAATATAGGATCTGTGCTCATTTAAACTATCAGTGATGTACTTTTTTCCTTATATAAATCTTTTCTTTTACTTGGTACAGGTTAATTTTTTCAAAGAGTTCTGTGCATTTTCTCAGACATTACAGCCTCAAAACAGAGACACCTTTTTCAAAACATTGGCAAAATTAGGAATTCTTCCTGCTCTTGAAATAGTAATGGTAAGTTGAATTCCAGGCAAGGCATGTTGTAAGTTTGCTTATAAGAATATCACTCTCCAGTGCGTACTTATCACTTGAGATAGTACAGTTCAGAGTTACTCTGCATATTTTCATACTATATACCCTGCATATTTATTTGCATATTATATACTCTGCATATTCTGCATAAATGTTGAGCTAGGATGAAAGGGATGAAAAATGTAATGATGTTGAAAGTTTAATTTTGGTGCCTTTTAAAAGTTCATGGTTTTAATATATGCACTGTTTTTATGCTTGTTTTTATTGATGGTTTAATTTTATTTATTTATTGAATTTATTTGCCATCCATCCCATAGAAACGATTCTGGGCATTTGTTGTTTGGAAGCTTCCAAGAGTTTAACATAAGATAGATGGCTATATAATGTATAAATACATAAATATTTACATACTAATTTAAACATCCAGCAGACATTTGAACCTTGACTCTCATCTGTAATAATTAAAATGTACCTAATATGCAGTGTATGTGTGGATATGCACATCAAATTTGGGGGGACATGTTTGAAATGCCAGCCTAATGAGTTAGATCAGATCAAGAAACTGACTCCACAGAAAGTGGTATAAACTATATTTTATTGTATTTTATTGTAGTAAAGAATCTTGTGTGAAGTTGCTTTTGTTTTACCTTTTCTCCCTTTGATACCCCAGTCAAGGAGGAGCCAACATGAATCTCTTCCTAAAATATTTCCTTTCCCAGGGCTAAAAGCATGCTTCTTCCCTTGTTTCTGAGTCATGTTGAGTTATTGTCATAAGATATTCTGGGAGATATTTTTTGCAGGGCAGTTCACCATTGCACCATTCACCAACCCTCTCCATTTATCTGGGCTTGGAACTGGCATATGGTTGATGAATTGTATAAAACCAGACACATCGTTAGAAGCCAAAATCACAAAACTAAATCTGATTTACTTTGGCCATGTCATGCATGCAAATAGAAGTCAGTGATGCTAGGAATGGTTAGTGGAACAAGAAGAGGCAAGAAAAGAACATACTGGCTTGACAACATCAAATCTGATAAAAAGATGAACATCCAACAACTAAAAAAGTTGTGCTTGACAGGGTAGCATGGAGAGCACTTGCCTATAAAGTCCACAAGAGTCAGACTTGATGGAATTGTTAAAACAGCTGTTTCTATTAACAGTTTCTAAGTATTCCATACAGGGTCATCTCTATGGCTCTTTACATATATAAAATAAATTATATATGATAAATATTTTATTTGTTCCATAAATAAATTATTTTCAGTAATAATTATAAATTGAATAGCAAAACAAGCTCAACTTTATGCCAAATAAGGAATTTCAGGTGAGTAGAGCAAGTTATAGCCACTAGTTTTATGGAAGACCTTAGATTCAAGGTGACGTGGCATATATTTATATAAGTTTTATAGCAGGGATGAAGGACCCCCAGTCTGTAGATCCAATCTGATTGCCTGACAATATCTTGAATTAGTTCTTTCTCTTCCCAGTATTTAAGGTCTTCATTTCACTTGAATTTTCTATAAAATTAATGCTCTGTTAGAAATGCTCCATTTTAACTAACTGATCTGATTTTGATTTCAGGGTATGGATGATTTACAAGTTAGATCTGCTGCTACAGACATATTTTCTTATCTGGTAGAATTCAGTCCATCTATGGTTCGGGAATTTGTAATGCAAGAAGCACAGCAGAGTGATGATGTAAGAACCATGCAGCTTTCTTACAAATATATATTATACCCATAAGTAAAGATAGTGGCCATGTCTAGAATCAAAGTTCTTGTTCTGTCAAAACAAAGCATTTATTCCCTATGTAATCTTGTTTTTCCAACTCCTAAAAACATGGATTCGTTGTCTCAACAATACATTTAAAGAAGAACTTAATAGTTGTGCTTCACTAGCTAATTAATAATGCCTCAAACAGTATTGCCTGATAGTAAGGTTGGTGCCCAATTGCTTGCTCTTAGCATAACAGCCGTTCTTCACTTTTGCCCCCTAAGTTTATTGTCACTTTTCTGTCTTGTTGGGATTCTTCTTCGGGAAATCAGATGCAAAATATGGATTAGAGGGCTTAATAGTTGATCTCACCTCCTTGATTTACTAATATGCAGGCATGAAATGGAAATGTGGAGCCCATTAAATAGTTGTATTGTATATACGTTTAGAATGCATTTGCCTGTGTTTTTGTTATTATAATTTTTCAGTGTTTTATCTGTATTTTAATGGTTTTAATTATTTTGTTTGGTTATATGTTTTTTAATGGTGTGTGCTGCCAACATTGTTCTGAATAATCCTAGGCCCTTCCTTACTTCATGTTATTATCATATTACTATACTATCATTATTATCCCAATTGGGTGCTGTGTAAGTCTTCATGCAGAGTTTGGTAATGAGAGACTAGATGGAAAGAAACATAGAGGTCCTATTTGCCGATAATCAGTTAGACTTTCCAAAAATATTGCTTCTGATGGTGGTTCTTTGCAGGGTGAAGTTGACCCTGAAGATCAGGTCCATATCATGGGGACCCTCCTGAATCCATAGCTACTGCTAGAGCTTTAAGTGGATGCCTTAGCCAGGAGGACCTTTGCCCATTTTCAGTTCATCAGTAATGTATCCTAAAATACAGTGACGATTACCATGCAGTTTGACTGCTGCAATGTGCTCTATGTAGAGCTTCATTTTAAGACTGTGGAAACGTCAGTTGGCACAAAATGCACCACCATGCTGCTAGCAGGTCAAATCTACTATTGCAGAATAATACTATTTTGTGGTCACTTCATTGGTTGCCAGTAGGCTTCCTGGCCAATTCAAATTGTTGATTATTATCAATTATACCAATTACAATTGCAGTTACATTTGTAATTACGGTTGTATGGAAATGAATTAAACCAAACATGATTCTATTCATCCTGTATAGTCCAAAAAGAGGGTGTCCTCTGGATCCTGTCCCTACAAAAATATGAGGGTATGAGCGACAAGTCTGACTTCTCTGTGAATATCCCTGTGTTATGGAAAATGCAACTTCCAGTAGTCATATGACTGTATTTTGGGTGCTCAATGATCAACCTTCATTTATGGCTGTTTGTGGGATCCCAGTCATGTGACTATGATTTACAACATTTTACTGGAAACGTGTTTATTTCCAGTTTCTGGCAAAAGAAAATGACCCACAGTAAATGATGGGTTTGCTGAACAACCGCAGTGTTCACAATAACTACCACAAAAAAGATCGTAAAAATTGAGCACAGTCACACATAACAATCATTATATAGTAATTTACAACTATAATTGTAGACTCAATTACAGTCATAAGTTGAGGCCTATTTGTAGGTATCAGCGTATAGTGTTCATTTCACTACAAGGTTATTTTAACACAAAATTTCCCTCAAAAACCCCTGTAATAAATAGATAACAAATTGTTATCTTTAGGCAGAATATGGGTGCAAAATATTTGAGAGCTATGAAGTTTTAATATTGTTGATTTTTTGAAAGCAAGACATAACTTGTTTTTGGTTTGTTACAGGATATCCTCCTCATAAATGTAGTCATTGAGCAAATGATTTGTGACACTGATCCTGAACTTGGAGGTGCTGTTCAATTAATGGGCCTCTTGCGTACTCTAATTGATCCTGAGAACATGTTGGCCACAGCTAATGTAAGAAAATGGAAAGGGGTAAAGAAACTTTACTGTCTAAAAAACACATTTAATAAAAACTTAAAAAGCGTACTTGTTAACTTTTGAAAAACTGCTTAGAATATTTTACATTTTGAGCAAATGTTTTTGAAATGTTTTTTCTCTGTAGCTTTATTTTTCAAAATGGTCCACATAACATACTGCCAATCTATATTATTGTCAGTATAGAGATATTTCGGAAGTTTGATTCTTACGTTTACAGACCAGTTATTTCTTTGATTAAAAGTCATGTTTGGGTAATACAACTCTTCCACAATAGTGTCTCCTGTCCATGAGCCAAAAAGATAGAAAGTTATATCTGTGAGCACGGATTTTGTCATTGCCTATAGACCAGGATGCTACATAATCTGGTCTGTAAATATTTTTAAATATGTGCAGTGTTTACAGTAGAAACAGTTTGGGATTTTAATGTAAAAGGCCCCAATTCTACTCATTTCAGTAGTCCTTTGAGCAAGCTAAACTGAGGTATAATTGGATAAAAGGTACCAATGAGATCCATATACAAATAGGAATTTGAAGATGGATTTCCCCAGATCTAGTCCAAAATTTGAATTACTGTGTCACATTTACCATCTCTATATAGTAATCCATTGAAAAGCTAAGGAATAAATAAGTTAATTTTTAACAGTTTCGCTGATATTTATTTTTACACAAGTTGACAACCAGTTATGCAGCAGGTTCTTCTTTACTTCTGTTCTGTACTTCACATATGCCCTGAAATTTACGTCAAGGATTTCCTAAAGTTATGGAAGTGGGGTGCATAGTAAATCAGTTTTACAGTAATACTGGCAGTTTAATTTGTGAATTTCTGCCATTATTATGGTTTGCCACGTAGTCAGTCAGATGTTTAGACTGGGTTTGATATTTTTAAGTACCTTTAGGGACCTGGAATAGGCTGGTGTTCAGTGATGTTAAATATATCATCACAACATGTAAGCTGTTCCAAGTAAAGTTGCAATTGACTAATGGTGATTTTATCAATGTCAATGATATTCAAGGGGTGCTCCAGATTTCACTCAAGATGCCTATCGTTTTTGCTTTCTTTGCCACAGTCTACTTCTGTTAGCAGGCTTTTGTACAGGTAGTCCTTGACTTATGACCACAATTGAGCCCAAAAGTTCTGTTGCTAAGTTGAGATATTTTAAAGTAAGCTTTGCCTCATTTACAGCCTTTCTTGCCATAGTTGTTAAGTGAATCACTGCAGTTGTGAAATTAGTAACAGGATGTTAAGTGAATCTGGCTTCCCAGTTGATTTTGCTTGTTAGAAGGTTACAAAAGGTGATCAAATGACCCAGAGACATTGCAACTGTCATAAATATGAGTCAGTTGTCAAGCATCTGAATTTTGATCATACAATCATGGGGATGCTGCAGTAGTCATAAGTGTGAAAAATTGCAATAAGTCACTTTTTTCAGTGCTGTTGTAACTTCGAATGGTCACTAAATGAACAATTGTAAGTCAAGGACTACCTATATTTTGCGATTTTTCTCCAGTTCTTCTATTCTGCTGCCTCCAGGTACTGCCATGTCCAGACTTTTTTATCTTTCTTGTCGATAGTCTGAGGTATTATGTGTCAGATGCTTGTGTGTTTGAATTCTAAACTGGAGCACATTAACTTCTCCATTTTCTATCATTTTGTCTATTTGCGGTCCCATCAGTTCTTGCTTGCTGTCAAATGGTACTTCTTGCAGATATTCCAGTTCATCATTGTGGCTACGTTATCATGATGTTATCTATAGTCAGCCTGTGCGACCTTCTTGGTGATCCACTGTTTCTTTAACTTCTTTGCAGAGGCAGTATTTTATGTCTGTTGCTTATTATTATTATTATTGTTATTGTTATTAATAATAATGATAATAATGTTAATGTTTTAATCCTTTGCATTATGACATTTGCAAGATAGCTTGCAAGCTGTTTTAAAGTAGATGATAATAGTGTTAAAGAGTAAGTTAGATAAACAAATGAATTTATCAAAAACCACAATGTAAGAACCTGAAATGTTTTTTTTTAATTGTACCAGAAGAATTAATAATTTTTGCATAAAAATGAAGTAACTGAAGTGCTAGAGCAGAAAACAGACTATCTCAACTCAGAAACTGATAAGTGATACTTAGATTGCTATTAGACGTTGAGTAAAATGACTGATTCTGTTTGTGAGCTTCATAACTTCAAATATTTTTATATTTGGTTAATATATTTCATATTTATGTTCCAGAAAACCGAGAAAAGTGAATTTCTAAATTTTTTCTACAATCATTGCATGCATGTCCTCACTGCTCCACTTCTAGCAAATACATCAGAAGATAAAACTGACAAAGGTAAAATTATTTCTTGCTCTCCTTTGTTATTCAGGAACTATGCTTGCTAAAGTTAGTAACAGAACCATATATTATGAACTTTGAATTGGATGAAACATGTATCAAAACTAAATGTAACAGAGAGAAACCTACAGTCCATCAGCCAGAATGCTTTAAGACCTTAACATCCAGCCAGCCTGTCCCTCAGAGCTCTATTTCCTGTTTCAATTGTGCATATGAAAGAAGATAGAAACAATTATTATTTTTCTTTTTATAACAGTGTTATTAGAGATTAAAATTTAAAATAATAAAACTAATACAATAAAAAATAAAAGAATAAAAAGTAAAGAAAAGGAGAAAAGATAGAAAAAGTAAAAATATAGTTGAAAAAAGAAATATACAGAGACTTCTCCTTCATTACAACTATAAACAAATTTAATATCACCTCTTAAAATACAAGTGAACTCTTCTTCCCATTTCTTATCCGTAAACCCATAAAAACTTATCATTTCAATTGTGATGTCAGGATAAATCTATTAAGGGATATCAAATATAACAATGTATCTATTTTAAGCTTGATTAAATAAACCAACTTTATATTTATTTATTTATAAGAATCTTGATCTTTACTCCATTCAAATAAGGTCCTGTAACTTCATTTATTTTCGTTTGTTATAGATAAAATACAGATAATTTTCCTGTATTTCTCTCTTCTCGCAAAAAAATTTTTTAAAGCTTTAACAAGCCTCTTTTGTAAATCCAATACTGGAAAATTATCAAATTATGGTTATGAATCCAGGCTGCCTATAAGGCTGTATGTTTCTAACTTTTTTTTATTGTTTTACATTTGTATTTTTAAGCTGCCAAGTCTATGAGAGTGGCAGCTATGATAAATTTTAACAGTAACAGCAACATACAGTATAAAAAGGTTTTTTAAATTCAGTAACCGCCAGGTGTGAAAGACTAGGACCATACATGAAGTTCCAGTTAAACAGATTTATTGCTCATGCCTATGCACAGGAATATTCTCAACTAACAATTAGCACCTGCTAGAAGTTCACGGTTGGTTGGACTTCGTACATTTGTGGCTACATAGGGATTCTTAGCTGATCCCTCCTTGATCCTGACCCCAGGCTCTGCCATTCCTTCTCCTACAATAACATCTTTATTGAGTTATGCTGATTACAGACAACCTCCTTGCTATTTTATGTGAGGCTGTATTGAAATTCCAGGCAAAGTTGGGTGGATTATTATGTTGTAAATTCTGTGATAAATAAACGATAAAAGATAAATGAGTATCTTCTGATATGTTTAGAAATTTAAAGTTTCTCGCCTTGGCAGTAGCAAGATGGCCCAAAGATGAAACAGTTCTGAATTCCCACAGTGAAGGAATGGATTGTCAAAATGTCAGAAATGTCAGATATTGTAAAATTGACCTATTTCGCCAGGGAGAAAAGAATGTCCTTTTTTTAAAAGACTGGAAACCTTATACAAACTTTTCACTCAGAGAGGGGAAAAAAACATAAAATGGTGATTTGTGGATTTAATGATTGAAAAAGATGAAAATTAAACAAGGGGCTGAGGGAATTTTTCAAATTATTAAGGAAGATTAATAATGGGTTTATTAATATCTGATAAAAAAGTCATCTACTAGACATCTACTTTAGTTCCTTGATTTTTTTCTTTTATTTGTCTTTGCATCATTTTTTTTCTTTTTCCCTTCTCTTGTTTCTTTAGTAGATTTGTTTCTTACATATAAAGGAAATCTAATTAAAAAGAAAATTGCCCAGCCCTGAAATGAGTTATATTTCTTATCTAAAATATTTTTTCTGTACCATAGATACTAATTAGGGAACTTACATATTTCCTTTTTTTTAAAGATGCTGTGGTTGCAAACAAAAATAATACCATTTGCCCAGGTAGGTGAAAATCATTGTGTATGTAGTCTTTACTTAAATGACATGCAAGATTATGTCCTAAATTTTAGATTAATATATTCTGTTTCTCCTTGTTTGGGAAGGAAAAAAGTAACTCACAGTGCAGTTTTCATATTGGGTATGTTTTCAGCTGACATGTAGGAGAAATTGACAACTGTGCTCTACCTTTAAGCAAAATCATAGTTGGTATTTTAAATTTTAAGAATATATTTGTTTTCTACTTTTTTGCTGTTATAATTTCCATAGAATGCATTAACAGACTGTCAGGATGGAGTAAATGTTCTTTAGATAGATTTTTTTCCCTTAAAAATTATCAGAATCTAATTGGTACAGGGAATTATCTATGCTTGACTATTTTTTAAATATAGTGACAAGCTGTTTAAAAAAAGGTATTTTTAGAATCCGTGCTTGTACATTAAGAGCCTGTTTTAAGGTAATGACTTATTTAGCTTTCAAAATTTGTTTGCATTACAAAAAATCTGCCTGCATTAGAAGTCATATTTCGGGAGTAATATTTGTGTAATTCTTCATAGGTTTGTCTGAGCCTCAGTTTTGTTTATTTTGCAGATAACTATCAGACAGCACAGCTGCTTGCTTTAATTTTGGAGCTGCTTACCTTTTGTGTGGAACATCACACTTATCACATCAAAAACTATATTATGAACAAGGACTTGCTGAGAAGAGTTTTAGTCTTGATGAATTCAAAACACACCTTTTTGGCACTGTGTAAGTTTTCTTTTAAAGATACATTTAATTTTTATTTATTAAATTTATATGCCCCCTATTTCACTGTCAAGTGACTCTGGGTGGCTCTGCACATTGTTGAACACATCTATTCTGAACAGATGAATAGAAAAATAGTATTGAGAAAAATTTAAAAATCTCTGAGCCAAGGACCTGGTAAATCTCAAAAATTAAGGTGGGATAATTGCCGGTTTATAGTCTGGTCATTATCATGATCTATACAATTAGTAAAAATATGCCAATTAAGAGAAAGCAGATACTTATAATCCAGAATTAAATATATCTCACTACATAATGGAATTGACAGGGAGATTGCATATCATTTATTTTTCCTTTATTTAGCGATTCAAAATATACAAAATCCCCACGTAATCCATTAATTAATTATGTTTTAAGACATCAGATCACTTTTGTAAATTTTCTCATTCCCAAGATAAATGTATGTCTTCATGTGAATCAAAATTTCAGAACACATTATTGGGGATACACTAAATACACCTAGTTTGTACCTTGGTTTGTTTGGCGCAGATTTTAAGATGTGCTATCTTAGTTCCTTCTGCAAGTGTTTCAGGAAGTATTTTAGGCTCTCATTAATCCAGTGTAGATAAAACCTTACTCATAAAGACAATCAATAGATCCACATCTGAGTAAGTTTTCTTGTATCCAAACAAAGTTGTAGTACTTAATGAAATAGACAAAGAATGTTTTAATCAGTTTTGATCAGTTTTCTTCTCTTCTTGTGGCTTGTTCGGGACAATTTCAGGCTGCCTTCTGTTCCATGTATATGAAGAAATAATGCAGCTGAAGTGAGCCACAAATTGCATTTGGTCATCATATTATCACCACAAATTAAATTAATAAATTATATATACAATAAAATTTATCACATAATATAATATGCCCATCCTCCCTATATGTATAATTAAAAACAATAGTAGAAACCTAAATCCCTGTATGTCTTTTTATTAAAATTAAACATTGACACGCGCACACATGCCCAAATGTTCCCTAATTCTCACAAGGAAATGGCAGTGGGGCAGTGAAAAGAAGTGAGCAAAGGAAACAGAGAAGCTGACACTCTGAAATTTAAAAATAGATTAAAAAAAAATACAGATACTGGTTTTCGTTATTTATTTGTTTATGTCTTCAGTACTGCTTCTGTATGTCTTCAGTTATGCTTCAGTACTGCTTCTGTACTGCTGGCTCCAGAAAAATTCCCAGGGCTTGATAAGAAAGCCGTAATTTAAACGTACCCTGAACACAAAACTTAGCATTCCACAATCAACCCTCTTGCCCTTCATTAACTAGATGGTTATGCTTGTACTTTTTAAATGCTTTCACATTTCAGATGTGCTGTAGCTTCTCTTTGTTAGATCCATGGGGTTAATGTATTAGTAGACTCTTTTAGGTATTTTAAATACCTAAAATTCTTGTGTAACTTTTTTGCTGCTCTTCTTTGAAGTAGAATAACCTTTAATGTGTATTGTAAAGAACATGAGAAAAGACACAGGAAAGACAAATATGCTTTTAATGTTATAGGTGCCCTTCGTTTTCTGAGGAGGATAATTGGCCTAAAAGATGAATTTTATAACCGTTATATTACCAAAGGAAACTTATTTGAACCAGTCATAAATGCTCTTCTGGATAATGGAACTAGGTATAATCTCTTGAATTCAGCAGTCGTTGAACTTTTTGAATTCATCAGAGTGGTAAGTTTTATGTGTATTTTTCAACTTTACCTTTCAAACATAATTGTTTTAGGCATAGAACTGTATATTTAAAGTGTCTCAAGACTTTAATTATAAAACCACAATTTAAAAAAGCTAGTAATATCAAAGGGCCTCTTTTCTATAAGGCTATTATTGTAAAATGAACACAAGATGAAAGGACCTTAGTCTTCGTCCATTACTTATACTTCCTGACCCTTTATCTGTTTGACCCAATAGTTACAGCTGTATCTATATTATTATTGATACCCTTCTTCTTTTCATTAAAGCAACTTCTATGGCAATCACTAACTTTAAAAACTAGATTGCATAAAGCAATAGCATCTTTTTTCAGAGTTATATAGAAGTCTGGGGGTTGGGGAGATTATGTACTTCAATAAATTACAAAGAGGTACTGAGCTCATCAACTTGTGAGTTCAGAATCATCTTCAGTAAAAATAAATGAAAATTATCTTTTTGTTACCAGTTTTCAGTAACAACTTCTATCAATCTACTAGATTAGCAACCCCCAACCTTTTGGGCACCAGCGACCTGTTCTGTAGAAAGAGGTTTTTCCATGGACCAGAGGGAGCGTGGTTTTCTATGCTGCATATATCCTGCAGATAGGGCTTCTCTTATTTGCAGCCTGGTTTCTGGCATGCCATGGCCCAGTGCCAGTCTGTGGACCGGGGTTTGGGGAACCCTGTGCTAGATCCAAATTAGAATAATGAACACACAGAATTAAAAGTAGATAGTGCTGGAAACTGGAGAAGTTTGATGCCAAGTGAGCTTTTGGGAGGGAAGGGTGTCAGATGATAAGGTTAAAACTAGAGTAATCCTGCTCTACAGCAGGGGTGGCATTCCACCAGTTCGTATAGATTCCCAGTAATTCGGAGAACCAGTAAAACAGGCCCCTAGCTGGCCCCACCCCTCTGCCCACTCCTCCGTTTCCTGCCCAGTCAGTCCTTATTGTGCATGCAGGCCATCACGCACATGCACGACAATCACTGATGGCATTATCTGCCTGCTCCCTGCCCAGTCACTCCTTATAGCGCATGTGTGCTAAATCGCTTCCCACATTTTTCTGCCTTCCGCCATCACTTTCACCAGCAGGAGCCAGCCAGCCAGCCATTGCTGCCTGCTTTCCACCATCTGATCTCCCTAGGTGAGTAAGGTTCTGCATACCCCGGTCGCCTATATGCCGCTGCTGCCGCCAGCCCCAGTTGAGTCCTGACTCCTGAGCTAGCCTAGGCCGCCACCGCCACCCTTGCCATCACAAGCCCCGGTTGAGTTCTGACTCCTGGGCCGGCCTAGGTCAGCACTGCCCTCAGCATTCGTGGCCTAGCAAGCTTCCCACCCCACTTGCCTGACTTGCTGGTGGCCGAGAGGAAGGCGAACCAGGGCCGTCACCGCTTGGGTCCCACCTGGATTCTCTGTAGCTGCTGCGCCTTGCCTGCTGGCACGGGGGTGGGGCAACCCAGGAGCACGATGCTATGTCGCCCGCATCACCCCTAGCCTGTCATCCCTTCCCCCTACCGGCCTGTGCGCTTTGGCTGAATGCAGGCCGCCGCTGTGAGAATGATGCGAGTCAAGCCTCCTCCCACGAGCTGCTCAGAGCACCCAGTAGTGGGAGGTGCTTCAGTCTCTGCCTATCTAGGCTGGGCTTAATTTGCGGAACGCTCCTCCTCCTCCACAGGACTCCTCCCCAGCGTTCCCCAGTTTTGTCTTAGCCTCGTGATAGGCAGTGCTTCTCAGTAATCCTTGGCCGAAACAGGAGAATTCTCTTTAAGGTTTGCAGATAGTCAATTGTTCCTTTCTTACAGACGCTGCCCTTGCCATCTGGCTGTCGGGGATAGCATTATCAGGAAATGCTCCTTGCGCTCCTAAGCGCAAGGAGGCCTCGATTTCATTTCGGCCACCCCAACCGCTAGCCCTACCCTTGCCATTACGATCGCCGAGCTGCTTTATCATTTAAACGGCGAGGCTCTTTTTCTCTCGCTCCTGAGTCATATCGCAGTTTCTCTTTTCCCCCAAGAACGCCGTTTAGGGGTGGAGGTGTAATCGCCTAGTTATTTCACCCCTACCCGCTGGTTTAGCCCTAAGGGAAGGCTGTTGGAGCTTATCTCTTTTTCTCAGCGGGAGATTGCTGCTGGCGCACGTGCCACAAATAACGTCTGGTCGCCATTTTTTTTGCTGTTAAAGGATCGCGTGGCTGCGTTGAGTGCTAATTCAGTAGACTGTATGAGGTAATCCTTATTCCGGATTGAAGGGGTGTTTTTACACAAAATACCCCGAGGAATCATTACAACCTCGTTTCCAACCTATTCGAGGCCTTTGTTAATTCGTGTTATTGGCTTAACCCTCACAGTTCTCCCTATCCAGCGGCACAACAGCGAGCACCTAGGCCAACGTCCGCCTGTGCAGGGAAGCTGTTGAAGCCCTGTGAGTGATTATTTGGCCTGCTAGGCATTCTCAATTTGGCCGATTGGGACATCCAAATTTGATATATATTTGCACACCCATACGCTCTGATAATATTAATCATACCAATATAATAATACTGACAATTTCATAACAATAATAAATTATTTGTTGAGATACAACTCAATTTTTTTTAAAAAAAAAGACAAAAAAACCCCATTAAAAAACGGGGGATTTGATTTCAGGGCACCCTGTCCATTCTTGGCCAGGTCCCTGGGCGCACCAACCGCCTACACAATATAGCATTAGATAACGAGCGTATTGGTCCTTCCACAATCACAATGGCAGGGGGTAGTGGTTCACACTCCTCAATTTCAAGGGGCAAGTCCAAATCTCAACACAATCCTAAGCAAAAAAAAGGGGACTTCTAAGGCATCAGAAAAGGATGCCAACAGGCGCCACAAGGCACTGGAAAAACAGATAGATAAGTGCACATGGGAGGCACACAGGACCTCTCAAGCCTTCTCACCCCACAGTCCAGAGCCGCCGTCCTCTTTCCTCCCTCCTACGCCCTTAGATCTCTCCCTCTCATCCAGGCGCAGCATGGCTCCCTGAGTCAACAGGCCCAGTCAGCTCAATCACCAACCATGCAAAGAATACCCGAAGCGACGTTCACACCAACGGCTGCCGGTCTTCGACAGGAACTATCTCTTCCAGAGGATGTGCCAGAGCGAATGAAGACCTGGATGGAGATGGCTATCCGTCAGGGAATTGCAGCAGGCCTGCAACATGCAGTTCTGACCAGGGATCATCCCGCACCCGCTGAGTATGATTCACAATCAGTTCAGTCATTGGCCAGATCGGAACTACACTACCCAACCTGTAGTTGAGGCAGGCGTGATTCCAGTCTCTCACATGTTTGCAGACCTGGTACAGAAACATTGGGCTTCTGCAGCAGTGTACCCGGCCCACACTGGTTATGACAGGAAATTCTTTAATTTGGCCCCAGATTTCTTAAAATTGTTGAATACTCCTGAGGTAGATGAACCCATTGTGGGATTAGCGTCCTCGTCCTCCATTCCCAGTGAGGCGCTGGAGGACAAACAGGCCGAGCTAGCCCTACGCAGGGCCCATCAGTCTGATGCGTGGGCCATCAGAGTGGCCACGGCCGCTTCCTTCTTTACCTGTTCTTCCCTCAGATGGCTCTGGCTATTACGGGAGCATGTCCCCAATTCTAACACTAGAGCACACCAAGACATTGCAAAGCTTATAGCAGCCGCCGAATTCTCAGCTGACGCAACCTTTCATGCAGTTAAGTTTTCAGCCAGAGCCATCACTTCACATGTCACAGCGTGACGCTTGCTATGGTTAAAGAATTGGCAAGCGGATATTAAACATAAATGCAAGCTTGCTTCATCTCCTCTAGCGGGAGACAGACTGTTTGGCCCTTCCCTCGATCCGCTACTCATCGAGACTCGAAACAAAAAGAAAATTTTACCCTCCCTTTTTCGGAAGTCAGACCCTAGAAACCCTCAGTCCTTTCGGAAGGGATCTTTTCGGCCCTTTTATCAGGGACCGTTCTCAACCAGATACCAGAGACCCCCACCTTTCCGACCAGGGCAACAGCCAGATTGGTCAGACTTTGGGGATAGGAACAGAAGGGGTGGCCAACCCAAGAAATCCTTCTGAGGAGCGGGAAATAGATTTTTCCGGCGTCCAAGATAACCCCATGGACCCGCCTCCCATTGGTGGCTGCCTTAAATTATTTGCAGACCAATGAGACTCCTCAACATCTGATTCCTGGGTCAGAGACATGATCAGATTCGGCCATGCGCTGGAGTTTCAATCCGCTCCCCCAGACTTCTTTATGTCATGCCCTCTTTACAGAGATCCGGTTAAACGAAATCTTATGGAAACAGCTATTCAACACCTACTGGACATACAAGCCATCCAACCAGTAGCTACCGACCAACGAGGGCGAGGTTTCTATTCACATCTTTTCGTTGTTCCCAAAAGTTCAGGGGGGTGGAGAGCAATCTTGGATTTGAAATGCCTTGATCAATTTTTAGTATATCACAAATTTAAAATGCACACCCTACAATCTATCTTACTTGGTATCAGAAAAGGTGACGTCCTTACATCTATAGATCTGACGGAGGCATGCTTACATATTCCAATTCAGCCTTCCCACTATAAATTTTTACGATTCTGTTATAATATTATATTTTGAATATGTGGCTCTTCCCTTCGGACTAGCCTCTGCCCTCAGGACCTTCACAAAGGTTCTCGCAGCCCTCGCTGCTCATCTCCGGGGTGTCCCCATACGACTGCAGTATTACCTCGATGATATCTTAATTTTGTCATCTTCTGTTCATTAATCAGTCAAAGATACTCAGACCACATTACACTCCCTACAACTACACGGGTTCTCAATCAATTGGGGAAAGAGTCATTTAACACCTTCGACTCGATTAATCCATCTGGGGGCAGTCATAGATACAGTGGAAGGCAAAGTTTTCCTGTCACCAGATAGACAAAACAGCATTTATCAATTAGTTAAGGAGGTCAGGTTTCATAGGAGG